CAAGAGGGTTCTGCTGAGGGCACAGCTCAACAAGCCCTGAAAACAAAAACAAAGGCGGATAAACATTCTTTATGCAAGTTTAACATTCTAACAACATATAAGAACAAGCAAAGTCCAAAAGAGCTAAAAATAGGCCAAAATAGCATGTGCTAAGTGCCTAAGTTCATCTGCTACCCACCAGAACTGATTGCTCAATATACAGATTAAATTTGACACTACATCTGCTGAGTTCATTTCAGATTTTTGGAGAAGTGCACCATGCACTTCCTTCTTTTTACAAAAAAGGGTTGGGGTTGAGGGAAACCTGTCTTGTCCAAAACTGACGAGATCTAGTAAACTGGTTGATGTAGGACCAACCCCTAGGGTGGCCTGATCTTCACGAATTGGAGATGGATTTGGGGTGTATTGTCTGTATTCACAAAGAACACGGGACAAATCCACAAGAAAACACGAGAGAACACTAATTGGACAAGATCCACACCAAGTATCCCTCAGATCACAAGCCAATACATGAGGTGCATGTAGATCCAAGAAAAACAAAGAAAATAAAGGATAACTAGGGTAGTCCTTCCCCAATCTCTAAGAGATGTGAGTGTCTTGAGAGATGGTCTTCTCCAATCCAAAGGATGCGGAGGTCTTGGTAATCCAAAGGGATTCTTCTCCCTTAGGCTTTGTTCGGTTACACCTCCTCACAGGGGGATTGGGGTGGATTGGAGGAGGTTTTGACTTGTAGAGGGTGTAATCCCTGCCAACCTCCTCCATTTTCCCTGTCAACCGAACAAGCCCTTAGGAGGGCTTGATCCTCTAAGAGGAGGTATAATGAGTCAAGGACCAATGCTCTCTCAAGATCTAGTTTCCGCTTTGCTAACCGTAGAGAGGAGGTGGGGGAAAGGTATATATAGTCCTAGCCACGAAGAGCTAAGTGGGGGAGGTGAGAGAGGGGATACATAGCTCGTGGGCCAGATTTGCACGCAGGCACATGCCGGCCTGTCCGGGTCGCAAGCCTGCAACTCGTCCGGATCAGGGCTTCCACAGGTGCTACTCAGAGGGCTCGCTCTAGGAGCTGTACTGTCCGGGTTCCAAGCTGGACAGTCTGACTTCACAAATTTAGCTTCCGTTGCCTTGCGCGCGGTAGCCAGACGAAGGGCCAGATGGTGATCCAGAGGAGGTTTTTATCCGGCTATAGGCTGGATAGTCTGGCTACTGGATTCCAGCTGCCCATCTTCTCTCTTCCATCTCCGCTTCCAAGCTTCTCTGTGTATGGTGTGGGCGTACTCTTGTGCGCACTCCTCCTTGACTCGCGTGAAGCTCAGCTCAAACCTATGTATGCATGAAGGAGGGTCAAGTAGTATACCACCCATGAGAGAACCAAGTAGACACACATAAAGGATGGAATTCACCTTAGTATATGTGATGTGTTGGCAATGAAGCCAAAGCCATGGTGATGACCCTAGGGTGCTCCGCACCACTAGTTTTCTCAGTGGAGCCTGAGGTTTGTGCGAAGTGTCGAAATTCTTCAATTTGAATCTAAATGTTAAACGTAAATGAATTAAAGCGATATTGACAATAAACAAGAGATAACACCACAACTATGCCAACGTGACGGCATGAGCATGCCGTTGTGGTTCTTAATTATAAATTGACTCTCATTTTAATCATGGCGCTTCATGCAAATTCTGCAATTCATGTTGTTGGGATAAATGTTCTGGAGTGCAGGATATCTCATTGTACTAAGATTATTATTTTGGCGGAGCTTAGCTCACATGATGCAAAGTATATGGCAAAAAGCATTTTACAGGGGGGTTGGGAGATCTTTTTTGTCAGTTCTAGATTTTTTTGTGCAGCTCCATGTATTCAGTGAGATAGCGCAAAGTATGCAACTCCATTCAGGTGTCCACGGAAAAGCCATGTTTGTTTCCCCCCTTTTGTTTGGGTCCATTAATTTTTTCCTTCTGTAAATATGCTGTGAATATCTGTGCTCATTTTCTTTTAATATAGTGTACCCTTTTATTTTGGGGCTCCCCTTCTGTTTTCCAGTTATAAAAAGAAAAGTCATGCTAAAACTTACTTTGCTTGTCAAAAGAAAATGCTTGGATGTGCAACAAGCCATGCCAACAGCTCTTCAAGTTTTTGCTGACTTTGGTTTCCCTACCCTCTATGGATGCAGTTGCTTAGGGAGTATAACCACGTGCATCCTCAAGACGATGAAGAGGGGAAAATCTTTGCCAATTCAAGAGTACGATGATACTCTATTTTCCAGCTTTCTCCTACCATACTGATTGATGCACTGACCACTAGATCACCCCTGCCCCACCACCCCACCACCCCACGCGCGCACACATTTCTCCTCCCATTAGTAGTATATGTTTTTCTACTTGTTGCTGTTAAACCTTTTATGTTGTTACAAATGCAGAGTTCTCTACATCTAAATGTAGCTGCTTGCTACCAGAAGATGGGTGAGTACAGGAAGTCTATTGAAGCGTGCAATAAGGTAATACACTGAAAGGAACTTGGGCGTAGCTTCTCACGCCATGGGGTACTGGACCCGTCCGGATAGGTCCTTCTTGGTTTCCATGTCTAGTTTGTTTGATTAGTTGAGTGCGTGCAATAAGGTAATACACTGAAAGGAACTTGGGCGTAGCTTCTCACGCCATGGGGTACTGGACCCGTCCGGATAGGTCCTTCTTGGTTTCCATGTCTAGTTTGTTTGATTAGTTGAGTCGGTTCAAGTCTTCCCTAGCCTACTGCCAAGCTGCACTATAAAGCTACACAATTAACATGAAATTTGGTATTGAAGAAATAAACAGAGAAAAGGGGATCCTCCCTCGCCACCGCCAGAGGGCGGGGCCGGGCGAAGCCCGGTCGCCGCCTGTGGCGTGGGGCCCCTCTCTTCGTGCGGGGTGGTTGGCGTGGACCGACGGCCCTGGACCTGGTGGTGGCGCTTCCGTGGGGCTCCACCGCGCGGCGTCGCATCGGCGCTGGTGGTGGCGCGTGGGTGCGATGGCGGCATGACAGGCACATGCCCTGGTGGTGCACGGCCAGTGTGGTGAAGGCAGGCTGCCAGATCCAGACGCGGTGGGTGCGGGCTGCGGGCGGTCATCTCCGCGGTGGTGGTCTGCCGGCGGAGGTGGCGGCGCAGCGGTGTGGGTCTCGCCCTTCTTCTCCTCTGGTTTCGGTCGGGGGCTGGAGGCGGGCTAGGGCTAGTGGTGGTGGGTGTGTGCCAGCCGGATCTGATACATTTTTCCGGCGGGCGGCGCGGGTTGGGGCAGTGGCCGGCGTGGCGGGCGGCGGCGGCAAGGTGGCTCGGCCCTCTGGGTGTGGCGGCTTCCATTCGCTGAGCCGACATCACGGCAGTTCGGCTGCCGCGGCGGCTGGTTTTTCGGCGTCGGCTCGTTTGTAGGCGCCCCGTTTCGACCTTCGGCCAGTGTCCTCGTCGTCTGGTCACTACCGTCGTTGAAGGTTCGGTCCTTCCCCGGCTACGGTCCATCGCTCGTCTCGTGCTCGGCAGCAGGACCGAGCTCGTCTCACGCCCGGCAGCAGGACCGACCTCGCCTCGCGCCACCGGGCGCAGGACGGGTCGATGGAGGCGTTGGGGGCAGCCTAGGGGTGCGAAAGGTGGATCCTTTCCGCCCGTATCTTTGGTTGGGGTAGCGGGAGGTCTCGAGTGGGGTGTCAAGGTCTTGGATGTCAGGGCCACCGCCCTGGTGGTGGTTCCGCGGTGCTCATGGGCAAAGCCCATGGCTTGGTGCTGCCCGGTGGCCATGGCCGTGTGGGCGGCGTGGTCGCCGGGGTGTGGCGTTCGGTGGCGGTGAGTGTTGGCCGGGGTTAAAACCTGTTCTATCTTCAGACGGACCGGCGGCGGCGAAGCTCGTTCCCTTCTTGAAGGCGTCGTCGCGGCTATCATTGCCCGTCGTGTTGCTCCAGGGGAAACTCTAATCCTCGGGTCGGGCGGTGGCGGCGCTCCGGTGTCCTTTCCTTCCTGAAGGCGCCGCCTTGGAGCCCACGGTTCGTCGTATGTGGCTTCATCTCTTCACGGTGGTGTGTTCACGGTTGAGGACCCCGGTTGCTCTCGTAGCGCTAGGGATGTTGTTGCTGCTTGGGTGTGCGCGTGTAGTGTTGGCGGGTGTTTGTACCGGGTTGTTGAGAATCGTTGCTTTATATATAAAGCGGGGTGAAAGCCTTTTTTGGTAAAAGGGGACGTTTTTCCTCCAGAACAGATCTATCCTCAAGGCGTCAAGCCTAAACTCCCTCGCCCTCGCCCTCCTACCATCCACCACTATGCGCTCCATAATCTAGGTCGTGACAGTGCTACCATGAAAACAGCCACATGGCCCATTGGGTGAAGGTGGGATGGACTAGGGTTGGGGGATGAAAGGTCAAATGGACTTACAGTTTTGCTCTACTCCCTCATGGATTGCAATTTTGCACTTCACCTCCTGAACTCCATTCAAGTCTGCTACACTGATCCATCAGCCTCTGCAAAGTACTCCCTCCGTCCGGAAATACTTGTCATCAAAATGGATGAAAGGGAATGTATCTAGACATATTTTAGTTCTAGATACATCTCTTTTTATCCATTTTGATGACAAGTATTTTCGGACGGAGGGAGTATAGATTTGCACAAGGTTCACATTATTATCCTGCTGTTGTTCTTTGATTTACTTGTGTTTGAACAGGTGCTTGATGCAAATCCTGTGCATGTCAAAGCACTCTACCGCCGAGGAATGTCATACATGTTAGGTGGGGACTTTGATGATGCAAAGAACGATTTTGAGAAGGTTAGTGGGACCATGCTTCAGAATCATGTTTGGTTGGTAGAGGCCTAATCTGTATGTAATGGCACCACTTCATTAGATGGTAACCGTCGAAAAGTCCTCGGAGCCTGATGCTACAGCGGCCCTTGTTAAACTTAAACAGAAGGAACAGGTATGCAACAGAACATGCATAAACTCATACTCCCTCCGTTTCTAAATACAAGTCTTTCTAGAGATTTCATTATGGACTACATACGAATGTATATAGACGTAGTTTAGAGTGTAGATTCACTCATTTTGCTCGGTATGTACTCCATATTAGAATCTCTAGAAAGACTTATACGGAGTACTTAGGAACGGAGGGAATAGTGTTCAAAGTTTGTAACTAACAGTTGATGCACAAACAAAGGAAATTGAAAAGAAGGCAAGGAAGCAGTTCAAAGGACTATTTGACAAGAAGCCAGGAGAGATATCTGAAGTTGGTGTGGAGTCCAAAAATGGTGGCGACACGGCAGGGTCTGGCGAGGCAGTGACAAGTAGGGATAGAGATGGAAGCGGGAAGTCTAGTCTTCCGAGTGCAGAGTCAGATCATGCCTTTGATGAAGAGAGGCCAGGACTTATTGGCCGCATCTGGCCTTCTGCGAGGCGGATTTTCTCCTCCCTTGGTCTGAACAGGTGCACAATACTCTGAGCAGCCAGCAGTGACGAGTATACAGAATTAATCTTGAATCATTATGAAAATCGTACCAATGTATATGGACTGGAGTGATACTGAAAAATCGTGAGGAAGCACCGGCTGTTGTAACAGTGAAAAATTGATTGCCGTTTGTGTCTGCTAATGCATTGTTGAAGCAAACTTATATTTTTTTTCTTTACTTTGTTTGTACTTCCGCTTGAAGCGAAATATATACCCCAATGACATTTCATGAATGTTAGGCCCTGTTCGGCTTACCTCTGCTCCACAGCTCCACTCCTGGAGCGGGTGGAGTCACAGTGAAAAAAATGCGGAGCGGCTGTTTCGGTGCTCCACGGCTCCTGCTATTTCACGGAGCAGGGGGGATTCCGAACGGGGCCTTAGTTGTTGCAACATACACAGTAAAAATACCAATAGTGTATAAATCAAAGTTAGAAACAACATACCCTAATGTTGTACTCCCTCTGTTCGGAATTAGTTGTCTCGGAAATGGGTGTATCTAAAACTAAAATACATCTACATACATTCATTTCTGCGACAAGTAATCCGAATGGAGGAAGTAGATGTGATTCCAAGTCAGTTTATGTGTACACATAATTCATCAAAACTAACGTCTGAATCTATCGATTTTTTATGGACTACATAGCCCTCTAACACTGTATTCCGGTCGCTAAGCCCTCTTAACCACCTGCACCAGCCTATTGCTCAGCGTCATTAGAGGGAAAAAGGAAAACCCTATACGACACTCTGCGCCAAGTTGTGTGCAAACGCATAGACATGGCGAGGCGAGCGATTAAATGGGCTGGCCCGTTTGCGCGTTTCACTGATCCCCAGTTTTGGGAACCTTCCAGAAGGTTCCCAACCGGTCTAGGTCTGGTTTTTTTTCTTGTTATTTTTTCCTGCTGTTTCTTTTATGGTTTTGTTCTGTTTTTTATTATTGTTTTTAATTTTTAATTTTTAGTTTTTTCTTTTTCTTGTTTTTAGTTATCTGATTCTATTTTCGTTATCCTTTTTTCCTTTGTCCTATTTATTTCTTTTTTATTTTTAATTCCTTTTTCTTCTTCTTTTTTTATCTATTTTTGTTTTTCAGAATATTAAAATTGTTCTAAATTACAAAACATGTTCGGAATGTCAAAAAACGTTCATTTTTTTAATTTTTTCGTCACAATTCAAAAAATGTTTGTCATATTTAAAAAAATGTTTTCCTTTCAAAAAAGGTCATAAGTTCAAATAAAATCCTGTTTTCAAATTTTGTTTGCAAATTCAAAAGTGTTCAAATATTTGAAAAAATGTTCTTTTTTTCAATAAACACACATAAGTACACAAAATCTGTTTTCACCTTTAGTTCACAAATTGAAAAAATGTTCGCTTTTTCATATTTTGTTCAGAGTTTCAATTTGTTTTTTACAGATTAAAGAAATGTTCACTTTTGTACAAAATGTCATGTTTTTAAAAAATTTCCTTATCAAAATCTGTTGCGAAATTCAGAATAAATCCCAATTTTAAATTTGTTCACCAATTCACATATTGGTCACATTTTTAAAAAAGCTTGTTCGTGTTTGTGAAAAAATTGGAATTGAAAACAATTCCTGTTTTTTAGAATTTGTGCATGAATTCATACATTCTTCTCGTTTTTAAATTTGGTTACAAATCCAAAATTTGGGCAACTTTTTTCAAAACTTGTATATGTTCTTTAAAAAAAGTTTGGAACCTTTTTTAAAAGTATTCAAAATTTTCATCAAATGTTTGAAAAAAGGGAAACTATTCGGATTGGCTAATGCAGTTTGTTCTAAAGTATTTCGCGTTGCGTACTAGTCACTAGCGCTGGTCAGCTGAGTGGTTAGGTACGCGTATCCATTAGAGGTGGATCGGGTGTTCAAAACCGGGATAATGTGATTTATTTTTGCGGTTCTTTTTACACCGCTTGTTACTCTTGTGTGGGTCTGCTTGTTATGTACGCGTATCCATTAGAGGTGGTGACTTGAAAGATCAAGAAGAGGAGGGGGGGGGGTGTGTTGTGATTAGATCCTTAACAAACAAAAGTGGCAGCTTTTACAATTCTTCAAGTTAAGCTTGAGTTTAGCACATGTTAAAAAGCACACAATACATTTCGTACAAACATGACAAGAGTATAGGCAGCGGAAAGAGTAAAGCATGCAATTGCAAGAATGCAAACACGTGGCTCCGATACGTGGTGCTATTGTACGTCCACGTTGATGGAGACTTCAACCCACAAAGGGTAACGGCTGCGCGAGTCCACGGAGGGCTCCACCCACGAAGGCTCCACGAAGAAGCAACCTTTTCTATCCCACCATGGCCATTGTTCATGAAGGACTTACCTCACTCGGGTAGATCTTCATGAAGTAGGCCATCTCCTTGCCCTTACAAACTTCTTGGTTCAACTCCACATCATGTCAGAAACTCCCAAGTGACACCTAACCAATCTAGGAGACACCACTCTTCAAAAGATAATAGACGGTGTGTTGATGATGAACTCCTTACTCTTGTGCTTCAAATGATAGTCTCCATAACACTCAACTCTCTCACACAGATTTGGCTATGGTGGAAGAAGGATTTGAGTGGAAAGTAACTTGGGGAAGGCTAGAAATCAAGGTTCAAATGATATGAATGGCACTGGTACAATGAGGTGCTATAAAAACGGTTTTAACCTCTTTCCGTGATGGCATTCTGAATCGTCGTCGAGTGAGTGTGTGCGATAGGGGGTCCTTCCCACACGACACAGAAACCATCGGGGATAGGCCCTCCTGGCACACACGCTCGAAAAAATGAGGTCGTGTGTGATGGACGATCAATGAAATACGATTATACGTACAATTGTGCTAAAAAATACAATTATACAGGCCAAATCGTTTCCGATCGTAAGTACATTCCACACAGTCAGTCCCGGCTAAACGTTTCCGTTCATATGTACATTCCACACAGTCAATCCAAGAAATGCGTTTTCGTTAGTATGTACACCCCACACAGTTAATCCAAGGAATACGTTCATGGACAACTTATTTCCCCATATGCTAAAAGGGTCGAACATGGGTCAAATCCTCTGACAGCAGGACCTACATGTGCAAGACCAAATTGTTAAAAACCTAAATATTAGAATGGTTCTCGCAATTGCACAATAATGTGCTATTAGACAAAGGACCATGCACGTGCAAACCTCGATTATAAACCTCAGTGTTTCCCATTGTTTCCATGCAAGACATATAATGTAGTTAGTGATCAGGTTAAGTGAGGGTTCGCATGCTATCTGTAAAATATGTTGATGAAAAATAAGCACATTGCAGATTCATCGGATTAATTCGAGCCACATGGAAAACCAATTTATCCAAACCAAGCATGATTAACAAATAGAAAATATAGCAATTGTATATGTTTCTCATGTATTAAGTGCAGCCAAATTTGATTTATTCCTCACATGCACAACAATACAAAATTTTACCCACGAGAATTGGACACCCCATTGCATAATTGAACCAAGCAGTTAACTAAACACCACAACAAATGAACCAAACATTAACTGAGCAGCACATTGCACAATATAACATACTCCTAATAGAAGATCAGGCAGTTAACCAAACCAAGCATGCTTAATAACTTGGAAATATAGCAATTGTATTTGTTTCTTATGTATTTAGTATAGTCAAATTCGATTTATTTCTCACATAGTATACAATAACAAAATGCATCCATAATGATTGAACATCGCATTGCAGAATTAAACAAAATAGTTAACTAAACACGATAACAAATGAACCAATCGTTAACTGAGCACCACATTACACAATGTATAACATACTAGAAGATCAGATAGTTAACCAAACCAAGCATGCTTGACAACTTGGAAAGATAGCAATTGTATTTGTTTCTCGTGTATTTTGTAAAGAAAAATTCGATTTATTTCTCACATGGAAGACAATACAAAATTGCACCCTGGAGAATTGAACATCACATTTGCAAAATCGAACCAAACAGTTAACTGAACACGACAACTAATTAACCAAACAGTCAATATGTGAGCACCACATTGCACGACATATAGAACATATACACTAGAGCAACATAATGCATGGTAAAAGTAGAGAGGAAAATTCAGTAGAATTTGTTAAGGAAAGGCAGGAGCAGCACATGCAACGGGTAAATCGAGTATGCTTAACCAGCATAGCTAGCAAACTGAACATAGTTCCTTATAGTGAGCTAATAAGACAAGCTACTCCTCATCGTTGGAGATATCAATGATGATTGGTTCCTTGGACATGGAAGAGGGCGAGGCCTCCACATCATGGGTGCCCTCGTCGTAGTGGTAAGTTGCCTGAGCCGCTCCAGGCACCAACCTGCTGGCTCTCGAGTTGAGGTAAGCACGAGCACGCCGAGAAAACACCTCGTAGTCTTTGTCGAAGGCACCGATGGTGGCCTTGAGAAAACGCCACGAACTGTCATTTAAAGCAGCCAACCGCATCGCGACGTTAGCACGCGAGGCGTCGGTGGTGGCCTCGACAGCGAGGTGCTCCTCCAAGATCTGGGGGTCGGCACGGATGGTAGTTATCGCGACCTCATCCGTGCGTGTGGCCGCGATTTTCTTCCCCGCTACCAAATGCTCCTTGACCTCCTGGCTATATTGCGTGCACCATGGCTTAGGCCAGCGCTTATTTGGAGGAGGGGTCGGTGATTTGGGTGGAAGGTTTCACGCCGGTGGTCGGGGCATGTGGGATGTGGAAGGAGGAGGAGGATGGGGGTCGGGTGTGGATTACCTGCCTGGATCGACGAGGCTGAGCAGCGTGAAGGAGGGTCGCCGGTGAGGAGGCGGCGCTGCAAGCAAGGAGTGAAGGTTTCAACTTGAAAAGGAAGGTGGAAACGGGGGAAATGTGGCTTTTGGTAAGGGGGAGGGGGCGGGGAGGTAGATATTTCCCTGAAAGCCGAAAATTTTGGATCGGTGCAACGATAAAACTGGCACGTAAAGTGTCATCAGACACGATCCCTTA